TAAGGGCTATCGCACACAAATTGACATAACTGCATATGCATAGCATAAGATCGTATGGACCAATGAGCATCGAATATTAAGCATCGAACAACAATATGGCGACTTAATACTCGATGCTCATTGGTACATACGGTCTTATGCTATGCATATGCAGTTATGTCAATTTGTGTGCGATAGCCCTTAAGGCCATCAGACACAAAATTACATAGACGCATATGCATAGCATAAGATCGTATGGACCAATGAGCATCAAATATTAAGCTTTAATCATCAATATGGCGACTTATTAATATTCGATGCTCATTGGTCCATACGATTTTATGATTCATATGTACTTGACCGAAAAAAAACTTCAGTTGGAAAACTATTCTTTTAAATCGTTTATATTTCGTATAAAGAGTTTTGAAGTGCAATTGAAAAGATTTTTGAGTCATTCTATTACTTGTAATTAATTGTTCTTTTTTGGACCATGTATTTAACCGGAAATAATGACCGGAGGTAAATTAAACAAAGGTTCGTGTATCGTATAGGTACCGTATGGTATCGTTTGTATTTCGTATGAAAAGTTATGAAGTATCATTAAAAAGGTTTGTGAGTCATCCAGATAATTTTAATTAAATATTAAAAAATCATATATTTGGCCGAAATATCGATCTCAAGCGCTGCTGTGGAAGTACCGTCAGGCACGATCGGTGTACTATCTAGTATTTCAATATTTCTGGATCTTTTTCGGATAATTATGTACAATAAGGTCTTCTTCGAATTTTGATATCTTTTTGCAGCTCTTTTGGTAAAAATATTTATTTTTACTCCAATATTGGTAATCAATCGGGGGAATCCGAAAAATATGCAAGTTATATATTGTTTTAACTTTTTTTTTTTACTTTTTTTCACTTGTCGAACGTTGCTGCTTTCCCATAATTTAAACAAGTTATTGATCTTTTAATCACATTATGTAACTGCAATTTTGAACGACTAGCGGGGAGCTGCGTCCCCCATACCCCCCCCCCCCCCCCA